TGTGGTTGGAGTGAAAACCTACAGGAGGGTAGCTCTCCAGGAACAGGGTTGGAGTGAAAACCTACAGGAGGGTAGCTCTCCAGGAACAGGGTTGGAGTGAAAACCTACAGGAGGGTAGCTCTCCAGGAACAGGGTTGGAGTGAAAACCTACAGGAGGGTCGCTCTCCAGGAACAGGGTTGGAGTGAAAACCTACAGGAGGGTAGCTCTCCAGGAACAGGGTTGGAGTGAAAACCTACAGGAGGGTCGCTCTCCAGGAACAGGGTTGGAGTGAAAACCTACAGGAGGGTAGCTCTCCAGGAACAGGGTTGGAGTGAAAACCTACAGGAGGGTAGCTCTCCAGGAACAGGGTTGGAGTGAAAACCTACAGGAGGGTAGCTCTCCAGGAACAGGGTTGGAGTGAAAACCTACAGGAGGGTAGCTCTCCAGGAACAGGGTTGGAGTGAAAACCTACAGGAGGGTAGCTCTCCAGGAACAGGGTTGGAGTGAAAACCTACAGGAGGGTAGCTCTCCAGGAACAGGGTTGGAGTGAAAACCTACAGGAGGGTAGCTCTCCAGGAACAGGGTTGGAGAGCCCTGTTCTAGGGTCTGCCTCCAGATCAAAACAGGGAAACCGTGTAAGGGACAAAGTCAGATAAATGTTGGCCAAATCAGTGGAACCTCAAAATGCTGCACATCTACAAGCAAATAGCCTTTTACGCCAGCCATCTCTTCAACAGCTACTAGCAGACATCCCCTACCCAGTACCGACATCCAATAACATCAGCTACTAGCAGACAATCCCCTACCCAGTACCGACATCCAATAACATCAGCTACTAGCAGACAATCCCCTACCCAGTACCGACACCCGATAAGGCTTTACAAAGCTAAAAGTTGGAGAATCGATGAGAAATCTTTATTTATCGGTGACATTAAAAAAAAAAAATTTTTTTTTTGATTGTTCAAATCATGCGCTCGATTCAAAAGTTAGCAACCATACAAATCTAGAATTCGGTGTGCCAACATTTTTACAAAAACAAATTTGGTTTAAGACTTACACAAAAGAAACACAATGAGCAAAGAAAGAAACCAAATCATACTACATAAATCTGTAATAACACACACAGTAACACAATTCATGTCAAAGAAAGGAAACGTGATTAATCATTTGACAATTTACACACACAAAAAAAAATCTTTGTTACACCATCAACAATCCAATAAAATCAACCAGATACATTGCTTTTGTTGAAAACAACCAGAAAAATAAAAAAAAGGAGGTTGGAAAATTTAAAGTGACAACAGAAAAGATCCAAGACGATGACCCCTTTCATTTGTTTTCTCCTGCTTGGTAAAATGTATTAAAAATATGCTTTTGCAAAACAGCAAAAGCATAATTTAAAAAAAAAGTCATACGAGCAGCTTTTTTATCCAATCCTTTGAATAAAAATAAAAAAAACTTCAGGAGACTAGAACAAAACAAACACAAAAATTGGCCTTGTGGGAGAATATCAATGATTTAAAACAGATCATATTTTTTCCATGTGGCTGATTTTATATACAGTTGAAGTCGGAAGTTTACATACACTTAGGTTGGAGTCATTAAAACTCGTTTTTCAACCACTCCACAAATTTCTTGTTAACAAACTATAGTTTTGGCCATCAACTTTGTGAATGACACAAGTAATCATTCCAACAATTGTTTACAGACAAATTATTTCACTGTATCACAATTCCAGTGGGTCAGAAGTTTACATACACTAAGTTGACTGTGCCTTTAAACAGCTTGGAAAATTCCAGAAAATGATGTCATGGCTTTAGAAGCTTCTGACAGGCTAATTGACATCATTTGAGTCAATTGGGGGTGTACCTGTGGATCTATTTCAAGGCCTACCTTCGAACTCAGTGCGTCTTTGCTTGACATCATGGGAAAATCAAAAGAAATCAGCCAAGACCTCGCCAAGACCTCAGAACAAAAATGGTAGACCTCCACAAGGCTGGTTCATCCTTGGGAGCAATTTCCAAATGCCTGAAGGTACCACATTCATCTGTACAAACAATAGTACGCAAGTATAAACACCATGGGACCACACAGCCGTCATACCGCTCAGGAAGGAGACGCGTTCTGTCTCCTAGAGATCAACGTACTTTGGTGCGAAAAGTGCAAATCAATCCCAGAACAACAGCAAAGGACCTTGTGAAGATGCTGGAGGAAACAGGTACAAAAGTATCTATATCCACAGTAAAACGACTCCTATATCGACATAACCTGAAAGGCCGCTCAGCAAGGAAGAAGCCATTGCTCCAAAAGCCAGACTACGTAAAAAAGACAGACTACGGTATACAACTGCACATGGGGACAAAGATCGTACTTTTTGGAGAAATGTCCTCTGGTCTGATGAAACAAAACTAGAACTGTTTGGCCATAATGACCATCGTTATGTTTGGAGGAAAAAGGGGGTTGATTGCAAGCCGAAGAACACCATCCCAACCGTGAAGCACGGGGGTGGCAGCATCATGCTGTGGGGGTGCTTTGCTGCAGGAGGGACTGGTGCTCTTCACAAAATAGATGGCATCATGAGGAAGGAAAATTTGGTGTATATATTGAAGCAACATCTCAAGTCATCAGTCAGGAAGTTAAAGCTTGGTCGCAAATGGATCTTCCAAATGGACAATGACCCCAAGCATACTTCCAAAGTTGTGGCAAAATGGCTTAAGGACAACAAAGTCAAGGTATTGGAGTGGCCATCACAAAGCCCTGACCTCAATCCTATAGAAAATGTGTGGGCAGAACTGAAAAAGTGTGTGCGAGCAAGGAGGCCTACAAACCTGACTCAGTTACACCAGCTCTGTCAGGAGGAATGGGCCAAAATTCACCCAATTTAATACTAATTGAGTGTATGTAAACTTCTGACCCACTGGGAATGTGATGAAAGAAATAAAAGCTGAAATAAATAATTCTCTACTATTATTCTGACATTTCACATTCTTAAAATAAAGTGGTGATCCTAACTGACCTAAGACAGGGAATTTCTGAAAAAAATGAAAGAATTGTGAAAAACTGACTTTAAATGTATTTGGTTAAGGTGTATGTAAACTTCCGACTTCAACTGTATCCACTGTGGTTTGGAAAAGAGCTGGATCACGCCAGTTCTGGGTCACAATGGACTGGACCGCACCATAGTTCTGGGTCACAACGGACTCATAGAGCAATATTTAGGAATAACACATTCTGCCCCCTTTTTTACCTTGATATTGTCTGTACAGTATGTACGTGGACACTACACATGGTCTTGAAGTAGAATGGTCTAGCAATAGACATTTAAAAAAACATGAAACAACACTTAAAAAGAGAATCGCCTGAGTTGAGGAGTCAGATACAACTATTTTTACCCAAGACTGAGGCTTCATCATGATCGGGTTCCTCGGAAAGACAAAATAAAATAAATAAAAATAAAGAGGACATGATAAAAACAGAACTAAATACGTTAGAGACAAGAGTGGTTTATAGTGTAGTCTGCTAAAAAAAATCCAGATTACTCTAAATATCGATAACTAAGACAAGGAAATAAATTCTGATATCTAATAAAAAACTTCTAACAATGTTTAAAACACTTCAGAGAAAAATAGGAGACTGTTCAGGTGTTCACTGACAGCGCCTTTTTGAGAACAGAATCAGTGAGGCAAAATGTTTCAGGTTTTATCTCAAATGCCAAAAGAGATGTGGCAACAATGCCAGAAACCTGCCTCTGTGAAATGCATTCCATTTTTATATTTTGAAAAAATAAAAAAAGTTGGTTCATCAGGGAACTGTAACCTGGTAGAGTGCAAATTTCAACAGCGGAAACCTGAAAAAAACTATTGTACAAGCTGGCCTTTTACATTTCCTTAAACATTTAAAATAGATACAAATGTTGCCTTAAATTTACAATACAATCCTTTTAGCAAAAACTGACCATACTTACAGGTACAAAATAACGCAGCGTATTATGACTTCTGCAGTTCATATACAATCAAGTTGAGTCCAAGTTTCTGTATCAAACAAATCTCTATTAGTAATGGAAAGGAATAACCCTGGATGTCTTTAAAAAGGGAGGTTTGCTACTGGCCTCTAAGACAGTGCCACAGATGTCTGTTGGAGCATATTTTAGGGGACTGTCCACCCAGCTTTAAACCATAATGTGACTTAACAACTTGGCCCCTGCCCAATTCCATACGGCTACACAGCTATGAGGTCAGATATGGGCTCTCTGGCCTACGACAACATGTTGGGAAGCTGCCAAGTCAGACTGACCACAAGGGACCATTTTCCTTTTTCCAAATCCCTAAGCCCCATCGCTAAGGATCACTAACGGTCACTCAGAGTGAATGACAGGTGGTTGTCGTAATATTTTAATATCTGACGCTAGATTCAAAATGATGGCACGTGTGACTAGAAGGATAAATTTCATTGAAATATTAAAAAGGTGGTCCCGTCATTTTGCTCTGTTCATGTTAGGCTATAAAAACAGACCAGGAGTGAGCTGTTAATCTAGATCCGCTACAAGCCGGAACATGTACACGTATCATCACTGTTACATCACTGTTCCACTGTAATAGACATTTTACAGTAGACTTTCAAAAGAGGTTTGGAAATGACGTTGTGCCTTAACTGCACAGAGCGATTGCGCCACTCAGTATAAAATGGAGCCGCTGAGTTAGAGGACGGGCTTTTAGCACCTGAAGAGGGGGTCTCCGCACCGGCGAGTGGAAAAAGCGGAATGTTTGGCCTGCTCTCTCCAGCACCTCCAAACCTACAACACACACCTTTATGGCAAGATACAGCAATGCAAGGGAATGGATTTGGAGATGTAGCAGCTGAGACTGACTGGTTAAAACAGGTATAATCGGCCATTTATCTAGTTGATTGGTGGCGTCTTGAGATTTAGCTGCCTGCTCAGGCTGGACTGTGGTGACACCACGACTCCCTCCGTATTTACCATTCGCCAGACAATACAATTCAACTATTTATCTGCAGGTGACAAGACCGCAAAGTGGGATATGGTGTCAAAATTATACAACATCAAATTGTGCCCAGAAAAGGAGGTAAAGACTTATCGTTGAGATTGCCGTGAGCTTTTGCTTCAGTTAAAATCCATGGGGGAAATGTTGGCCATAACCCCCGCCCCTCCGATTGTACATAGATTTATCCAGAAAGTTCATAGACTTTGCAGGAAGAATTTAACGAGATTGGAGCAACAGCTCCCTCTTGTGGCTCAGAGATCTACCTGCGCCCTGGCAGGTGGAGTCCGTTGACTGATGACGGGTAGGAAAGGAGCAGCTCCAGTTGTGCAAACAGGGAGAAGTGATCGGAGGGGATGTGGGGGTGGGGACATCCGCTGATATTGTTCTCATGGAGCCAGTGAGGATCCAGGGGACCCAGAACCCCCAACACATTGAGCGTAGGCTGAGAGTAGAAGATGTAGTCAATGATACCCTGCACAGAGAGGAAAAGCACGTTAGATGGCGATACATTCACATCCCCGGGCTGGAGAAGAGTATTTATCAGTGTGACCCAAGCCTTCATAATATCCCAGGCTTTCAGAACATTTCACAAACACACCAACGCAAAAAGAGCGCGCTTCACAGAAGAGAGAAGACATGACTGTGGCAGTCTCACCTTGAAGTCGAAGGTGTAGTTGGTGTAAGGCATCAGGGCGTTTTCATAGGCACTCTTCAGCTTGAAGCCGTGGGTGATCCTGCCGTTGGACGCGCCGTTCTTGCCGTTGCAGTTGAAGTTGGTGAGGCTTTCGATGTAGCGCAGCTCCTTGAAGTCCTTGTGGGTGCTGTCCACTCCGCCCGAGCTCAGGAACTCCACCACACCTGCAAGCCGCACACACACACAGATCACCAGGCATTACAAATGTCACTACAGTAGAGCACACTCACTATTCAACTGACCCAGTCCAGTCGTCCACTCACCAGAGTCAGGTAGTGAGTTGAGGTCAGCACACAGGACGAGTGGGACGGCGTTGGTCTCCCCGGAGACGGAGGAGAGCTTGAGGCTGCGTGTGGCCTTGTCCACGATGTTCTTCACCTCAGACAGGAACATGACCGTCTGGACCACCTTGACGTCTGAGTATGCCGGGTCCCAGTGCATGTGGGCGTTGGCCACCAGGAGGAGCTGTTTCTCCATGCCGAGCAGAGACTTCCCCGCTGGACAAACACACAGGATAACAGCAGCATTTTTACATAGGTCACATTTAAGCCCTACGGAATTCAAGTTTCTTTCATGTGTGGCGAGACTCACCAGACTGCTCCATCATCTCCTTGCGCACCTCTAGAAGCGCAGCCACACCAATGTTGTCCTTAGTCATGACTCTGTTGAGCATGGCCTCAGAGCCCTCAGAGTTGGCCATAGCCAGCTGGTTGAATTCCACTGTGTGTTTCTGTACCAGGCTGAATCTAGTAAGAGTAGCAGGTCGAGAGGAGAGGAAGAGGTGAGAGGAGTGAGAGGTGAGAGGAGGAGAAGCGAGTAGCAGGTGTGAGGCAGGAGAGGAGAACAGGAGAGGAGGAGAGGAGAACAGGAGAGGGAGGAGAGGAGAACAGGAGAGGAGGAGAGGAGAACAGGTGAGAGGAGGAGAAGGATGGAGAGGAGGAAGCAGTAGAGGTGAGAGGAGAGCAGGTGAGAGGAGGAGAGAGTGAGAGGAGGAGGAGAGGGAGAGTAGAGCAGGTGGAGAGGAGGAAGCAGGTGAGAGGAGGAGCAGTGAGAGGAGGGAGAGGTGAGAGGAGGAGGGTGAGAGGAGGAGAAGGTGAGAGGAGAGGAGCAGGTGAGAGGAGGAGCAGGTGGAGGAGGAGGGAGCGAGGAGGAGCAGGGAGCAGGAGAGGAGGAGAGGGATAGAAGGGAGAGGGGAGAGGAGGAGAGGTGAGAGGAGGGGAGAGGAGAAGCAGGTGAGAGGAGGAGAGGGAGAGAGAGAGGTGAGAGGAGGGATGAGAGGAGAGCAGGTGAGAGAGGAGAGAGAAGCAGGTGAGGGAGGAGAGATAGCAGGTGAGAGGAGGAGAGGAGGAGAGCAGGTGAGAGAGGAGAGAGGAAGCAGGTGAGAGGAGAGGAGAGGAGAAGCAGGTGAGAGGAGGAGAGGAGAAGCGGTGAGAGTGAGAGAGAAGGGAGGAGTGCAGGTGAGAGGAGGAGAGGAGAGCAGGTGAGAGGAGGAGAGGAGAGCAGGTGAGAGGAGGAGAGGAGAAGCAGGTGAGGGGAGGAGAGGAGAGAGCAGGTGAGGGGAGGAGAGCAGGTGAGGGAGGAGGAGTAGCAGGTGAGGTGAGGGGAGGAAGAGTAGCAGGTGAGGGGAGGGGAGGAGTAGCAGGTGGGAGGGGAGGGGAGGAGTAGCAGGTGAGGGGAGGGAGGAGTAAGCAGGTGAGGGGAGGGGAGAGTAGCAGGTGAGGGGAGGAAGGAGTAGCAGGTGAGAGGAGGAGAGGAGTAGCAGGTGAGAGGAGGAGAGGAGTAGCAGGTGAGAGGAGGAGAGGAGAAGCAGGTGAGGGGAGGAGAGGAGTAGCAGGTGAGGGGAGGAGAGGAGAAGCAGGTGAGGGGAGGAGAGGAGAAGCAGGTGAGGGGAGGAGAGGAGTAGCAGGTGAGGGGAGGAGAGGAGTAGCAGGTGAGGGGAGGAGAGGAGGAGCAGGTGAGGGGAGGAGAGGAGGAGCAGGTGAGAGGAGGAGAGGAGGAGCAGGTGGGAGGAGGAGAGGAGGAGCAGGTGAGGGGAGGCAGAACAGACAGGTGAGTGCAATGTGCTGCCTCTGGGACAGCTTAAAAAAGGCTTTTCTGCAATGGCTGAACTTGGAATCATTACACCTCTGAAACACACTATACACACACAGGGTAAATGTTATACATACAGTACACACACACACACACACACACACACTAGGGATGCACATTTTGGTAAATTTTGCTGCCGACTACCTGACCCTCAACCAGTTAAAAAGGTAACATTTTTTCCAAACAGTAAAATGACATGACCAACAGAAAACACTTTCAGAGATCTGTATATACTGAAGAGATGCTTATTTCTGCGCCCTAATAATGGTAGTCGTCCCAAGGCTGGAAGGCAGGCAGGCGACAGAAACGCATTGGGCTTGTTTTCCACAGATTTTGGCTAGAGTGAAACCTCTCGCGTCGCCGCTTCCTCGCTTATACTATGCATGCGTACAAGGACCGGACATTTTTCATGAAGAGCTTAATGGAACCATGCAACAATAGCAAGCCTATGGTCTTACATTCAAAAGGCTATAGCCTGTTATTGAACATGCAACTCCTGTAATGAAGCAGCTAATAAGTCATTTTCAAACATTTGCCAAAATGCAATGAGCTGGAAAACACCATTCTAAACAGCGCACCTAATGTGACAGAGATGAAACTCTCCACTAGAAATTTAGAAAGAGGGGGAATCTATGACAACTAGGATGGGTTGCTAATACGAAAGAAAGTTGATATGAAAACCAATAGAACAGGAGAGAAATGCTGGTTAATGGCATCAAGACGTCTTTATAAAATAATTGCCTCCACGTTTCTATGGACGGATTTTCGCAAGGCTACTTTGAAGCAAGGTAAGACATGCCTCATTATTTGAAGTAAAGTAAAACGTTTAGCTTTCAGACAATTACTGCCTCAAGCTCACATTGCAAAGTGCTGGGTGACACGTTGACAATAGCCTATGCACTCAAATGGAAAATGGGAGGCGCAATTTAATTACAAGTTGAGATTGACAAATAAAAAATTGCTCCTTTTAAAATCTCTGCCATCAATTTTTAGCACGTGATAGCATTTAGAATTGTTATTTGTTGAGCAATTACTGGGCTTAAAAAAAATAAAAAATAAATAAATAAAATTCTTGTTTCACTCCAGTGAGGAGCTACTCTGGCGCTGTCTGACAGGTGATACATTTACATTTACATTTTAGTCATTTAGCAGACGCTCTTATCCAGAGCGACTTACAGTTAGTGAATACAATATTATTATTTATTTTTAATACTGGCCCCACGTAATCGAACCACAACCTGCTTGCAAACGCATGCTTATTAACTGCTTACATCCTGCGCGGCGTTCCTCCCCTACCTGGACAGGTGGGCCAAGGTGCGCCGCCCAGCTAGGGCCGAGGAGCAAGGCTGGCACAGGGCCTATTGACCAGGATTCAATATGGCACAGAATGATGATGGTACACTTAACCAGTTGACTCAGGATTTGCAAGAGTGAAGGAGTTTTCAATAGTTACGAGAGTATTATATAGATGACAGTTACCATGATCTCCTCAAACACTGCGTTCTGTTTGCGTGCGTGTCGATTAATCAGATACAGATTATGACTACAAAGATCCACGCTGAATTTAATTGCAGCACATTAACAAATAACTTTAGAAATTGATAAGCATGCCTGTCAAAGTACTGTTCGTGTGCTAACCGATTAACCGTTAACATACACAGGAAGCGGCACAGGTCCTAATCCAGGCACTTGTCATCTTCCGTCTGGATTACTGCAACTTGCTGTTGGCTGGGCTCCCTGCCTGTGCCATTAAACCCCTACAACTCATCCAAAACGCTGCAGCCCGTCTGGTGTTCAACCTTCCCAAGTTCTCTCATGGCATCCCGCTCCTCCGTACACTCCACTGGCTTCCAGTTGAAGCTCGCATCTGCTACAAGACCATGGTGCTTGCCTACGGAGCTGTGAGGGGAACGGCACCTCCTTACCTTCAGGCTCTGATCAGTCCCTACACCCAAACGAGGGCACTACGTTCATCCAATTCTGGCCTGCTAGCCCCCCTACCTCAGCGGAAGCACAGTTCCCGCTCAGCCCAGTCAAAACTGTTCGCTGCTCTGGCACCCCAATGGTGGAACAAGCTCCCTCACGACGACAGGACAGCGGAGTCACTGACCACCTTCCGGAGACACTTGAAACAAAAATGGTTAGGATTCAGGTGTAATTGCAAATAGTGATTAATCATGATTAATCCACTGAAAATTCTGATTAATTTGATTAAAAATTTAAATCATTTGACAGCCCTAATAAAAATATAAAATCAAACACAAAAACATTATATATACAGTGGGGAGAACAAGTATTTGATACACTGCCAATTTTGCAGGTTTTCCTACTTACAAAGCATAATTTTGTAATTTTTATCATAGGTACACTTCAACTGTGAGAGACGGAATCTAAAACAAAAATCCAGAAAATCACATTGTATGATTTTTAAGTAATTAATTTGCATTTTATTGCATGACATAAGTATTTGATCACCTACCAACCAGGAAGAATTCCGGCTCTCACAGACCTGTTAGTTTTTCTTTAAGAAGCCCTCCTGTTCTCCACTCATTACCTGTATTAACTGCACCTGTTTGAACTAGTTACCTGTAAAAAAGACACCTGTCCACACACTCAATCAAACAGACTCCAACCTCTCCACAATGGCCAAGACCAGAGAGCTGTGTAAGGACATCAGGGATAAAATTGTAGACCTGCACAAGGCTGGGATGGGCTACAGGACAATAGGCAAGCAGCTTGGTGAGAAGGCAACAACTGTTGGTGCAATTATTAGGAAATGGAAGAAGTTCAAGATGACGGTCAATCACCCTCGGTCTAGGGCTCCATGCAAGATCTCACCTCGTGGGGCATCAATGATCATGAGGAAGGTGAGGGATCAGCCCAGAACCACACGGCAGGACCTGGTCAATGACCTGAAGAGAGCTGGGACCACAGTCTCAAAGAAAACCATTAGTAACACACTACGCCGTCATGGATTAAAATCCTGCAGCGCACGCAAGGTCCCCCTGCTCAAGCCAGCGCATGTCCAGGCCCGTCTGAAGTTTGCCAATGACCATCTGGATGATCCAGAGGAGGAATGGGAGAAGGTCATGTGGTCTGATGAGACAAAAATAGAGCTTTTTGGTCTAAACTCCACTCGCCGTGTTTGGAGGAAGAAGGATGAGTACAACCCCAAGAACACCATCCCAACCGTGAAGCATGGAGGTGGAAACATCATTCTTTGGGGATGCTTTTCTGCAAAGGGGACAGGACGACTGCACCGTATTGAGGGGAGGATGGATGGGGCCATGTATCGCAAGATCTTGGCCAACAACCTCCTTCCCTCAGTAAGAGCATTGAAGATGGGTCGTGGCTGGGTCTTCCAGCATGACAACGACCCGAAACACACAGCCAGGGCAACTAAGGAGTGGCTCCGTAAGAAGCATCTCAAGGTCCTGGAGTGGCCTAGCCAGTCTCCAGACCTGAACCCAGTAGAACATCTTTGGAGGGAGCTGAAAGTCCGTATTGCCCAGCGACAGCCCCGAAACCTGAAGGATCTGGAGAAGGTATAGAGGAGTGGGCCAAAATCCCTGCTGCAGTGTGTGCAAACCTGGTCAAGACCTACAGGAAACGTATGATCTCTGTAATTGCAAACAAAGGTTTCTGTACCAAATATTAAGTTCTGCTTTTCTGATGTATCAAATACTTATGTCATGCAATAAAATGCAAATGAATTACTTAAAAATCATACAATGTGATTTTCTGGATTTTTGTTTTAGATTCCATCTCTCACAGTTGAAGTGTACCTATGATAAAAATTACAGACCTCTACATGCTTTGTAAGTAGGACAACCTGCAAAATCAGCAGTGTATCAAATACTTGTTCTCCCCACTTTATATGACAAATGAAATTTAAAAATACTCTAAAAATTAAATTAGAAACATAGAAAAATATTTTTTAAAAAGAATATTGTAAAGTGGTTGTCCAACTGGCTATCATAAGGTGAATGCACCAATTTGTAAGTCTCTCTGGATAAGAGCGTCTGCTAAATGACGTAAATGTAATGTAAATGTAATACAGTACTTGTCAAAAGTCTGGACACACCTACTCATTCAAGGGTTTCTCTATTTTCTACATTGTAGAATAATAGTGAAGACATCAAAACTATGAAATAACACATATGGAATCATGTAGTTACCAAAAGTGTTAAAACAAATGAAAATATATTTTATATTTGAGATTCTTCAAATAGCCACCCTTTGCCTTGATGACAGCTTTGCACACTCTTGGCATTCTCTCAACCAGCTTCACGAGGAAGGCTTTTCCATCAGTCTTGAAGGAGTTCCCACATATGCTGAGCACTTGTTGGCTGCTTTTCCTTCACTCTGCGGTCCAACTCATCCCAAACCATCTAATGCAGCACTCCATCACTCTCCTTCTTGGTCAAATAGCTCTAACACAGCCTTGAGGTGTGTTGGGTCATTGTCCTGTTGAAAAACAAATGATAGTCCCACTAAGCCCAAACCAGATGGGATGGTGTATCGCTGCAGAATGCTGTGGTAGCCATGCTGGTTAAGTGTGCCTTGAATTCTAAATAAAATCACAGACAGTGTCAACACCAAAGCACCCCCACACCATCACACCTCCATGCTTCACGGTGGGAACCACACATGTGGAGATCATCCGTTCACCTACTCTGCGTCTCACAAAGACACGGCGGTTGGAACCAAAAATCTCAAATTTGGACTCATCAGACCAAAGGACAGATTTCCACAAGTCTAATGTCCATTGCTCGTGTTTCTTGGCCCAAGCTAGTCTCTTCTTCTTATTGGTGTCCTTTATTAGTGGTTACTTTGCAGCAATTCGACAATGAAGGCCTGATTCACGCAATCTCCTCTGAACAGTTGATGTTGAGATGTGTCTGTTACTTGAACTCTGCAGTCCAAATAAATTCTTCACAATCTGAGGTGCAGTTAACTCTAATGAACTTATCCTCTGCAGCAGAGGTAACTCTGGGTCTTTCTTTCCTGTGGCGGTCCTCATGAGAGCCAGTTTCATCATAGCACTTGATGGTTTTTGCAACTGCACTTGAAAAAATGTTCTCAAAAAGTTCTGGAAATGTTCCGTATTGACTGACCTTCATGTCTTAAAGTAATGATGGACTGTCGTTTCTCTTTGCTTATTTGAGCTGTTCTTGCCATAATATGGACTTTGTCTTTTACCAAATAGGGCCATCTCCTGTATACCACCCCTACCTTGTCACAACACAACTGATTGTCTCAAACGTATTAAGGAGGAAAGAAAAACCACAAATTAACTTTTAACAAGGCACACCTGTTAATTGAAATGCATTCCAGGAGACTACCTCATGAAGCTGGTTGAAAGAATGCCAAGAGTGTGCAAAGCTGTCATCAAGGCAAAGGGTGGCTACTTCGAAGAATCTCAAATATATTTAGATTTGTTTAACACTTTTTTGGTTACTATATGATTCCATATGTGTTATTTCATAGTTTTGATGTCTTCATTATTATTCTACAATGTAGAAAATAGTAAAAATTAAGAAAAACCCTGGAATGACTGGTACTGTACATACTGGAACTCATGACCTAAATCAGGACTGACAGTTGGCAGTGCGGTGTCAACTCACTTTTCGGTTCTGTAAAATATGGCGCAGCCATCCACATGCTTGCGGTCGCACTCTGACATGGTCCTGGCACGGGACTTAGGGCTAAAGAAGCCCTCGTAACCTTGCTCCTTCAGCTCTGGCAGGAAATAGCTGTAGTACTGAACTGTTTCCACTTCCTGTTAAGGAAAAAAACAGTACAATTCCAGTTAGTGTACATTTTGAAGGTGCATTATTCAAAGTATAGGACATGTAACCTATGGAACTCGAACCCCCATTCTCTTCCGATAGATGGTGTCATTCTAATGCGACCCGGTTGTCGCGCAATCTGACGAAAAAGACAATGATCTACGCCCCTAAATGCTAGATCGATTGTACGGCGCATGTGTCATAATTCATTGCAACGGCCAGTATTAAATCCCATCAGTGTGTGTCTGCCCACCTGTAAGCTGATGATGTCAGCGCTGCAGTTCAGGATCTCCTGCATGATGGACTTCTTCCTGTACTCCCAGTTGAGGGCCCAGGAGGGGCAGTAGCCATAGAGCTGGCGCGTGGCGTACTTATCACACAACACGTTGTAGCACATCACTGAGAACAGGGCTAGCACAGGACAGAGGGACGCAGACATGAGATTATCCTACAGTCTCATTAGGGCTCTGAATATGATCAAACACACACACACAATGATCTTTGTGTTGATATGTGGCTTTCAATAGGTGTTGCAAGTGATTTGTAAGGGTGGATGAGTTAGCTACCTGCTGTTCTTGCCCGGTCCGGCTCGGCCTGAACAATCCATGATCTGGGTGGGGGCTGCTCTGAGCTGACTGGGACAGAGAGGGGGAACATGAGTCATCCTTACGCTGCTCATCAAGGACCCTCATGAGGGTGACCACTTGAATAGGATCATCAAGATCAACTGACAGAGCCAAGTCATTCCATTCACCCAAGGTCAAAGAAAAGCATAACTTATCTAATACATGCTAACTACCACACTCACAATTCAAACACAACACATGAACAACAAGATCCTTTTCCTGTATTTGGACTCACCTCCTTTGGTCCCTGACAGATTGTCCAGAAGGTAGTTGAGCAGTTTCCTCGTGCCATCATGCTCCTGGTAGAGGTTCAATATTTCTTGTGCAAGTGGGTTTCCTGAGGAGAAAACAGTGGAAAGCAATGAAGACGCTACACAGATGATATTACACAGGTTCAAGGATACAGAATGAAAACAATGCCACATCTCTCATTCTGTGACCTCTACTCTAGAAATCACTTGGATGAGCAACCAAATAGGCATACACAGATTATTATTAAAATACATGAGGGAATCCTTAGAGAATATCCATGCAAGCTTTCAAATCCCCATGAACTTAGATACCACGAACAACCAAAACGTAAATGATTATGAAACAAAGCTTACCTTTTAACCCCAGTGTTTGTAACTGAAACAGTTTTCCAAGCTCAAAAGGTAGAACCCGCAACTGGTTGTTGTTTAAAAGAAGTTCCCTGTAGAAGAGGTAAGACAGAGACGTTTTAGGATGCTAGAGACAGAATAAGATTCAGAAAGTATTCAAAAGAAGTGAAGGCTTTTCTCGAGTCACCAGAGCTGTAGAAATCCCTCTGTGAAGTAACACATAACGATCATGTGTCAATCAATCATTTAGTATCTGTTCAAGTCATTTCCATGTCTGCTCAGCCAGTTACTGAGCAAAGTTTCATTGAGGGACAGGTGCAGAAGAGGGAATACACAGGAGCGATACAAACAAAAATATTAATATCCTTGAAGAGAGGAACTAGCTATTGCCAATTTCAATCATAATGAGGAATAAGGATATGCAATACCCCACATGGGAGCCTGAAATGTCTCTCCATCCATCTACTTTATAGAATGTGCTCTCAACCTAAATCCCCTAAAGACTCTGAAATGGCATTGTTGACTGAATGAACAAACACACTTAACATTTCCAATTATAGTGAAAACAGCTCAAAACAACAGAGGTTGAAGCATGAGGACTGTAGAAAGGGGTTAAATGAAACAGAAACCTGGTTAATTCCTATGCTATTTCGTAAAAGAGGAACAGCAAACTCCTCTCTTTAACAGGCTCAATCAACAGCTTTTAGTGCATATAATTTCTCATGTGGAAAACACACTAACAGTAATGTCGATTTCGGTTCTCCAAACTAGCATCATTTAGAGCACGTTGAATTGTTTCCATTGTAGACTGACAGACCTGAGAGACACTACGTCGCCAAGCTCGGCGGGCAGGCTCCTGATCTTGTTGGATGAGAGGTCCAGGTACACCAGGTTTTGAAGTTTGGCAATGTCGGGCGGGATACGAGAGAGGGAGTTATCGCCGATATGAAGAGCAGTGAGGTGAGTCAACGTCCATAATGTGGTGCTCAGACTCCTCACTTTACCTGCCCAGGCGAATCAGGGGACAAGAGAGTCAGTGAAAACAGGAGGACAGAAATACAGTAACTCAATTTAAATAGAAATGAAGAAGACAGCTATAATATAATGAACGGAGCAAACAGAATGGCATCAAACACCTGGAAACCATGTGTTTGATACCTGTTATGAGTTTCTCTGGCATCAAGTAATTCAGTATGCAAGAAGATACTTAAACACTTACATGGAGAGTTGATTCAAAGGATTTAATATTGTGGTACCGGGTTCACATAGCAAATGGCACGTGGGTGGCCCATTGCTATCTGAACTCGGTACCGCAATATTAAATACTTTGAATCAACTCTCCATGTAAGTGTTTAAGTATCTTCTTGCATACTGAATTACTTGATACCAGAAAAACTCATAACAGATTGCCGTCTAAACGAACAGGATGCAGTTTACAGCCGAACTAACAGGTAAGCAGACTTTCATTTTATTGATTATGTCAAATCCTGCTTATCTGTGGTAAAGCTGAGCTGTAACGAACGTTTAAAATTCAATATTTTTTTATTATGGGAATAGATGAGTGGTATTCAAGTATGTAAACAGATGTAAGGAGAAATATCAAATTAGACAATGACATGGTGCTATGATTCTAAACAGGGTTTGTTCAGAATAATGAGTAAAAAAAACAGGAGAAGGAGAGTGGGTTTAACAAGATTGGGCGTAGGGTCTTTTAATGTGTATGACATTATAAAGATAGAATAGTGAGGTTTGAGTCCTTTGGTATTGAATCATCATAAAGTGTGATAAATTGAGGTTTGAGTCCTTTGGTATTGAATCATCATAAAGTGTGATAAAGTGAGGTTTGAGTCCTTTGGTATTGAATCATCATAAAGTGTGATAAAGTGAGGTTTGAGTCCTTTGGTATTGAATCATCATAAAGTGTGATAAAGTGAGGTTTGAGTCCTTTGGTATTGAATCATCATAAAGTGTGATAAAGTGAGGTTTGAGTCCTTTGGTATTGAATCATCATAAAGTGTGATAAAGTGAGGTTTGAGTCCTTTGGTATTGAATCATCATAAAGTGTGATAAAGTGAGGTTTGAGTCCTTTGGTATTGAATCATCATAAAGTGTGATAAAGTGAGGTTTGAGTCCTTTGGTGTGTAAGAATCATCATAAAGTGTTCGTTTTGTAAAGGTTAGAGTCCTCAACAAGATTTGTTAAATGTTAGAGTTCTTTGTAAAAGCCCTATGAGAGAATTAGTCCTTTGTGAAATTACTCAAAACGGTCAGGAGAGAGAGAACAATAACTCATACTGCATAAAGAATCAGAGCAGATACAATTAAGCATGTTGAATCATGGCACCAATGGCAAAATAGGCAAACAAAATGTTTATAAAGATCAAGTTGGGGATTTGATTCAAGTATTTGATGACTATGCATGAACTAATAGAAGCAATGGATAGCCAACTTAGTAGACAGTGAAGACAGTCACCATTAAGAATAAATCAGAGCTTCATTTACATCGAAGAGAGCGAAAGAAAATGACTCAATTATTACAGACAAATCTGCATTTAAAACAAGTCTCTTTTAAAAGTAGTGAAAATCAGACAATGTATGAATGGATGTTAAGTACATTAGGGTTTTTCTATGTGGAACCATATATCAGTGATTTATCAGCATGGACAGATAATGAGTATCCTCAAGAAGGTATTTTTAAAAGGGATAAGTTAAAGATGGCGCGAAAATATATCATCAACAATATCGCTGTAAGCAACGTGAAATGGGATTTAGATTATATGAAAGAGGCGATTTAATGAGTGCACGATGGCCTGGAAATATAATTAATAAGGAGAAAGTCAGCTAACAAAGTTAAGTAATTGAATTGAACAACATAGGCTATCTTATGAACAAAGAGCAGAAAGTAATTTTAATCTGAAGGGTGCATAATAAGCTATAGAAATGTGTATGATAATATGGATAAGAAGTTTCGATATATAACAGAATTAGGTCATAGAATATCAAGGAGTGGTATGGAGAGCGTGAGGTTATTTTAGAGAGTAGTGGAAAAGTCTATATTTCTGTGAGACTGAGGGGTTTCCGGAAGGTTAGAGAACCGTTGAGGATCCCATGACACGAAGGTCAGTGTCCGGGAAAATAAAGTTTTTTTTTTTTTGGTTCCGCTGGGAGTAATGTTTGAAGAAGCTGATTTGTGTCGATTGAGAATCGTTAAAAAACACGAAGGGAGTGTTTGATGTGAGTAGCCAGGAGTTTCTAACGTTCTATATGGATTATGTGAAGATATGAAAATATGATGCATTTTATGTGTGTGTAATCAATTCATAGGGAGTCGATAAAGTAACAATTAGAATAATATTTATATATTAACTTGCTCACCCAAACGTAGACGTACGTCAGGGGTGGGAAATAAAGGTTTTCTGAGTTGGTGCCGTTGATGGATCATTTCATAGAGATAAAAGAGGTGAATGTTACTGGTGTGAAATGGCTAGCTACTTAGCAGTGCCAACTAGTAGCGTTTCCATTGGTGACGTCACTCGCTCTGAGACCTTGAAGTAGTTGTTTACCTTGCTCTGCAAGGGACGCGGCTTTTGTGGAGCGATGGGTAACGGTGCTTCGAGGGTGAGTGTTGTCGATGTGTGCAGAGGGTCCCTGGTTCAAGCCCATGTAGGGATGGAAGCAAAACTGTTACATTATAATAATAATAATAATAATAATAATAATAATAATAATAATAATAAGGCCATTTAGCAGACGCTTTTATCCAAAGCGACTTACAGTCATGCGTGCATACATTTTTGTGTATGGGTGGTCCCGGGGATCGAACCCACTACCTTGGCGTTACAAGCGCCGTGCTCTACCAGCTGAGCAACAGAGAACCACATTGATGCTGTTGACCCGGATCACTGGTTGCATTGATTAGATTATACGTAAGTGATTGTCCTACCAACCCATGGCGGCCTAGGATCACATAGAAATTAAAGTGGCCTCCCAGTGAATAGATGTTTTGTTTGTTTTGAATACAATTTAACAATAATTTGTCACCTGCTAAAGTAACGTTGGATGGAAAGACAGAGGTAGAGGATAAGAGATTGTAGAGGGTTTTCTGGGTTAAAAGGAAAGTAGGTTAATTGGGAAATGAGAAATGTCCAATTGGATTGTTTGAGTAGACTGGTATTAAAATAATGCTTTCTAGTAATGTGAATGCAAATATGTTATTAGGTAGTAGTGGTTTGTGGATAGAATTTACTAATGCCAGGATTTAGTCCGCGGGTGAAAGAGTTGTGCTCGCTGGGCTATATCGGGCTGTAAAGGACACAGGGGGTAATGTGAAGCAGAGATCTGAATAGTTGAACAGGAAACGTTCTTTGACAATTTCTAATTATTATATTCAATTCTATAGTTTGCGTAACACCAGTGAGTTAATTAATTCTAAAAAACGGTAATCTGTTTCTGGTACGTTGAACAGCGGATGGGAGGTAGTTTTTACTATTACGCTGATGGGGAAGTACAAATATTTGTAGGTTCTGGATTTATAAAACAATAGGTTTATATTTTAATACATCAATGCAACAGGTTGCAATGATTACATTACCGGAAAGGGGTTATAGGTTTATATTAGAAGGTGTAGTCAACTTAATGAAACGTGGTATTATCTGATGTGTTTTGAGTAGGATTATTTCTTATAGGATTGGTAGAAGTACCCTACAGTATGTATGTTAAGGAAGACGTAGGAGATCACATCTCAAACAACTTTTTAATAGACGCTTGGGATCAAATATCACATTCTTTATGCGTAGTAATTGATTATATTTGCGAATTACTAAAATATTACATTTAGAGGGGTGACAGGAACAACCTAAGGGTAAACATATATTACCTATGTCGTTGGACAGTGATCCAGTAACGATATCATGATAATTTGATATGGGATCAAATAGAGCTGATTTTGGGGTTGAATAATCATTGTGAGAATTACAGAGAATGTGGTCTAAAGGGTAATCAGTTAAAAATACTAATTGTAAACTTAGAGAACCTTGAGTGGTTTTCATCTTGAGAGATTTTACGTAATCTTCTTCTGGAGTAGTCACGAGGAATTCAACTGAAACAAACGATTAATGAGTTAAGGGAAGACAGTGGAATTATCGTTGCCATGCTTGTTGATGATTACGAGTAAATGTTAACAATTTGTAAACTTTTTTTTTTTTCCCAGGAGAAAGGGCTTTCATTATCTTTTACAGATGTTCCCGTGTATGTGGTCTTGGGAAGAGATGTTACATAAGTATGAAGATTTCCAGATTAGGTCATAAGAGGGAGCTACCAAATTAAATAAGGCCTGGCCATTTTTGTTTGTTGTTTTACTATATGATTTTTCAAATAGCCACACAACCCACCTAGTATGATGGTTATATAGGGGTTTTTATTTTGATTTTAGGGGGTTTTAACAGGTTAGAGATGATAAGTCTTAAAGGGGTAGACATGGAATAGGGTAGACAAGTGTTTGTTTTCCGGGTGAGTTTTGGGTAAACACATGATTTCTTTTGAGAAGAAATGTAATGAGGACTTAACTGTACACTTGGGATACAACATTTATTAAATGTTTTGACTGTTGTTAATGATTAGTCTACTGTAGAATGAAACACTTATTTGAAGGGTTTGAATGACATCGGACCTCTGTCCTGACCTTATAGTGTGATTTGATCACCCACACTGGAAAACTGAGACACATGAGGAATTTAAGGTAATTTATTATACCGAGTTGAGGGTAATTTATAATACTGATAATTATGAGGAAGTTTATAATTTGGCAATAGTCATATATATATATATATATATATAAAATTCGGACCATGACATGGACAGAGTGAGAGTTATTCCTGAATGAGGGAAACCTGTTGCTAGTCAATTTTAATATTCCTTGAATTACCTTATGTAACACAATTAAGTTAAGGTATTCTCAAAGGTTGTCATTTTAATTTCATGTATTATTTTGGTTTAACAGGCAATGTTGTTGTTTTGTTTTTTGAACGCATGAATCACGATGTGAGTCATGTGTCCAAAGGGGGGAAGTACTGGTCGCATGGGGCTTTTTGGTAAATAGGCAAATTGTTTTAAGAATATGAGCAGTAGTAATTAATGTGTTATGGGTTAGATTATATTTATAGAATACCTTAATTATTATTATTATTATTATTAAATGTTTTATGTGCAAGTGTACTGTGGTAGAGGAGGCCTGTCTCTGAAACTAGTGGACTATAACAAGCTGCAAGAATGAGCACTTCCTAATCTCAAGGCTTCTCCTAACTGATGAGAAGACATGGTACAGTAGCATACGGTGTCTCACCTAACAATGTTCTTAAGACTTTCTTCCCACGGGTGAAGGATTCTCTGCCCAACCTAGCAGGAGAATATGAGCCTTGTCTGCGCCCTGGAGACTGGCGGTAAAGGATTACAGAAGTGAGAGATGGACAAACCCTAGGTGGAGAGGTCAGTACTAGGTGTTGCTGGCTACCTCGATGGAGGGGAAAGTAGCAGAGAGAGATACCTGCATCCATGTGTCCCACTGTAGGAGTGTTCCAAACCCAGAGGAGGAAGATGGCACCGCCACTGCGGAGCATTGTTTCCTTTTGTGTCTGTGTGTCTTTGCAGCAGTGACTCTCAACTTCCCTATTGGTACCATGCCAGAAGGACACACTCCACAGAACGATGTTGGTGGATTGAGAGGGACTGCCTGATCCGAGACCCTAGTGACGGAAGAAGGTTCAGAGCTAAAGGGACCATACATTGTCACCCAGGCTACACCAACAGATGTATGGATAGAGGGGAGATTGAGCTGGTATCATCTAAACCACTGCAACAGAGTACTACGAGGAAACCGACGACCTAGAGATGACGGGAGCTGAGGATGATGGAGCTGGCTAGAATACGATGGCAATGGGAATGCTACTGATGAGCTACATGATATGGCTGATTCCCTCGGCAGAGGGACAGACCTCCAACAACATCCAAGAACTTCAAGATCTTCCAGAAGTTCAAGAATCACCTGACTTTCACACCATTCATTTCTCTGTCTGTGGAGGGTTTCCCTAATAGGAATGGAGGTCTAACGTCCCGATACTGTGAATCTGTGGTGTAGCTGATAGGGTGATAAGGGGAGTATATTAGAAATTGGTATTAAGAATAATTGGTAAAAAACATCATTTGTCATATAGTCAATGCTTATATGGATTTCTTGGATTAGAAATGAACTCAACTAAACTGTTATGTTCTGTCTTCTCTTGAGGTAAATACAGATGGTGTCTTGATGGATAGCAGGGATAATTCGGCCTAGAATGGTGTGAACCTAAAAAAGAAACAGCTGAAGATGAGCATCAGAGGCGTTGAAGACGTTCCTGTACAGCACCACTTCTACCTGCGACCGGTCTACAACAGCCAATCCAAGCTATCAACTGCTTTTCTCTCATGCCTTTTTTCTTTGGAGTGGGACAGGAGTCCACCTGTGAGTGAGAATGGCGAGAGATCTGTTCAAATACAACATTTCTCATGTTGTTGGTATACTGGTTGGCAAACGGACAAGACAGAATGGGGTTTACAGATGGTGGTGACTCGGATGAGACATTGAAGTTGGGACATTGTCATGGGCAATCCATTTTGAACTATGAAGCTGTCTGAAGAACATAATGAAGAGACGCCAGAAGATTGAGTGCCGTGGAAGGAAGGGGTTGGTTTTTGTGTCGATAATACATTTGGATTTACCTAAATTTGGTAATTTGTGTATGAGATTGAGGTAGTAGGTATATACACTGCTAAATTAATAGTACCAAGAATGCATTGAGATAATGATCTGTAGTTATTCTCAGGATGAGGAAGGTCATAATAGAATTATGGATATTTATACTGTATGTTAATATAAGTCTACATTCTGACAGTTGTAATGTGTGATAAAGTTGAGGGTTTTAATTTTGAGTGATAAGACCAATGTGAATCACGAACAATTGTCATTCTAAATTTGGTTGAGATAAGTAATTTGGTTTTGGTTATGATTTATAAGATGACAGTGATTTAAGTAAATCATTAATAAATATTAGTAACTAAAGATGTTAACGATTTTTCGCATTCCTGGTATTGCTTGTACAATCGCGAGATAACTGTCTTAGATATTATGGTTAAAACAGCAATACATTATTTTAATGTGTTAGGATACACTTATGATTTCTTTCGAGTATACATTTTTGAATCTTACTGTATGAAACATAAGTTAATGCAAGGATTGCCTGATATCATGAACATGCTGAGTATTAGGTTACTGTATTCACATATTAGTCACTATATCCATTTGAAGTATTTGGAGGTATTGCTATGAGACTATTTATTCCCAAAGAGGGGGGATTGATGTGGATTTTTACAGTGGTACATATCTCTGTTGCTAGGCAAGAACTGAATTGGTTCCCATCATGGGGTGTGGTGTGTGTGACATAGGAATGTTTATGCTATTTTCATGTGATCTGACCTTGGGTTGCATTCCTCGCTCCTGCCTAATCCAAGGCTGTGCTGATTTATCAGGTGACATAACCAATGTGTTATCCTTTGTATCTCTCCTCAGGCATATTATGGGAACAGAGTCAAGATGAACAGAGTTGAACATGGTACCTATTAACAGTCATGGGTTTTCAAGCAATTGGGTTCTGAAATGTCACTCATTGGACAATACGCAATTGATAATCGCATAGTATTGGATGCTATTACAGTAGATAAAGGGGGAATGTATGCGATTATAGGGGGAGATGCATGATAAACATACTTGCCATCAGAATAGGAATGTTTTGGGAATTTAACTAAAGCTATGGGAATATTAGCGAAATACAGGATGGGATTAGTGATTGCAGCTAGAGATGTAACTTAGAAATTGTCATGAATCAATGTATTTTCTGGGATGATGTCATGAGGTTAGGAATTCATTTGTATGTTTCATTTGTTTGGTTTACGTAATGTTATATCTGTGGAATTTTACTTACAACAGAAAAATAATGAAAATGGGGTATTGATATTACGTATTTTATACAGGATTAGTTCATGTTTGATATTGTGAGCAGCATAAGGATTTGGGGGATGAGGATATTCCATTTATTTATTTCTGTCACTGGTGGGTGCCAGAAGGTATGCGGGCCAAGATAGCTGGGGGGCCACTGGTGCTAATCTTAGGAGGAGTACGTGATGGAATATCCTGACTAGGGTGCAACACAATACCATATAGGGTGATCCTATTCTAGTGAGGAGCGACACTCAATAATGGTTGGCAACTGTTGGATAGAATTAGCTTGCAAACAGGTATATAAGCTAAGAGATTTCCTTTGTTCAGTGAGTTCAGATAGCAATAGGCCACCCACGTGCCGTTTGCTATGTGAACCCGGTACCGCAATATTAAATACTTTGAACCAACTAAGTGTTTAACTATCTTCTTGCATACTGAATTACTTGATGCCAGAGAAACTCATAATTCCATTCCACTGATTCCGCTCCAGTCATTACCACAAGCCCATTCTCCCCAATTAAGGTGCCACTAACGTCTTGTGCATAGGCTTACATGTGGAAGTCTTCAAATCAAATCGTATTTGTCACATGCACCAAATACAACAGGTGTAGACCTTATCGTGAAATGCTTACTGACAATCCCTTAACCAACAATGCAGTTAAGAAAATAGAGTTAAGAAAATGTTTACTAAATAAAATAAAGTTAGAAATAAAATAAAAAGTAACACAATAAAATAACAATAATGAGGCTATATACAGGGGGTACTGGTACCGAGTCATGTGCGGGGTACAGGTTAGTCAAGGTAATTTGTACATGTAGGTAGGGGTAAAGTGACTAATACATCTAATACATTCTGACTCCATCACAACAATGAGCTATTCGACATGCGCTAAGCCAAACAGTTTCATCTGTATTTGATACTATAGCATGTGATGCCACCCCCACCGGTCCTCACCACTGATTTCGAGCTCAGCCCAGTATGACTTCTTCCCGTTGGCTGCCTCCTCAGTGGACATTATCGTGTACATCCGCCTTGGGTCGGGCGGATCATATTTTTCCTTCGGCATCCCTGTAATACTAAAAAACACATTGCACGATCCATTTGAAACAACATTTGAAACCAGAAACATTGCATGATCCATTTGAAACCATACCCTCAAAGATCAATCCAGGAGATTTTGACTGATAGGCAAATAGCCTAACACATGAATTCCTAGGATTCACCTAATATTTACAAACCAGTAAGGAAATGACAGTCTAAGATACTGCAACTTCAATACAGTACTTTTATTTATTTTACCTTTATTTAACTAGGCAAGTAAGTTAAGAACAAATTCGGACGACGCTGGGGCAATTGTGCGCCGCCCTATGGGACTCCCAATCACGGCCGGTTGTGATAGAGCATGGAATCGGGTCTGTAGTGACGCCTCAAGCACTGAGATGCAGTGCCTTAGACCACTGCGCCACTCGGGAGCCCATAGACTTTACAAGTCTATGTTCAGCCTAAAGTTATTTGAAGAATGGAAAAACCCGCACTCACTGAAATATTCTTTAAGTTTATGTATTTATTTTTTTAAAGCATGGATATAACATGCCTCTCTCTGTAGCAGCAATTTCTCTCTAGCCTAAAGTAATTACGATTCACCACTTATTCCACGAGGCCCTCTTCACACCATGAATCTCCAAACATGCAATGCAGTAGACTACTGGGGATTCAGAAACTAAATGTACACCTCTAGTAAAAACCACTCCGTCGACAGCTGCTTCAACCTGCCATTCATTCAGCGCCACAGACTCAGACCCTGTGCCAAATGGTCGTCACTAGTTACCACAGCCACAAAGTCATAAACCATTTCTACAATTTATCTTCTTAAAATCTGACTAACTTTACCAACCCTTCTAACATTACGGCTAACACTCACCTTAAATGAAGATCATATATATATATATATATATATATATATATATATATATATATATATATTATACTTTTCCCCCCCAATATAGCCAATTTTGACTTTATGGCTGTGGTAACTAGTGGAAACAGTGCTCCACGTGTTGAGTTTAGGAGCAACCACAAAAGCAAAAAGACTTAATAAAATAGCTTGCCTAGCTATCTTAATGACAAAAACAGGATCTTCCTGTAAATCACCTTTTACCTTCAGGCAAGTTTGGGAGGGGGTTGGTTGTGCTGTGCTGCCAATAACCATAAATACACATACCTAGCTAATTATTTATGATGACACATAAAATAACTTGTCCTCACGTTGACAGTGTGGCTAACACGTTCAAAACCGCTCTGTTTCGACACATTCAAGTCACAAACTAGCGGATTGTATCTTGCAAGTTGTTAGCAAGCTAGCTAGCTCAGTGTCAGGGCACACTTGGTTTAATCAATTCCTTTTTTTTAATGAAATTAATTTTGACTGAGCTATCTCCATGTAGTTTGTTTGTTTGGTAGAGCACGGCGCTTGTAACGCCAAGGTAGTGGGTTCGATCCCCGGGACCACCCATACACAAAAATGTATGCACGCATGACTGTAAGTCGCTTTGGATAAAAGCGTCTGCTAAATGGCATATTATTATTATTATTATTATACTAGTTCATTTTTGGCAGTGGTTACTGGTTTAGCTAAACAGTTGAGTAAACACTCGACATCATTAGCTAACTAGCTGAACTAGTTGGTAGCTAGCTGGTAAGCTAACGTTAACTAGTTAGCATGTGCATTTGCTGCCTAACGTTAATAACCACATGCCATCCAAACCAACATTTAATGATAACTAGTTACTATGATAGCAAGTTAGCTACATTTGTGTTTAACTATCTTTGCCATTCGGTTTGATTTGCATACTGGGTACAGTTAAGGGACAGTTGATATAATTTGTCTTAATTACATGGAGTCGTATGAGCTTCAGTCAGAGGTAACTAGTTAGCTAGTTTTTCGAGGACATTCACATAACTGGCTATGAGACTAGCCAGCTATCCGCAATCAAATACTTCAGCCTCCCTCGTCTTCTAGACTGACTTCAAAGTCTAGTTAGCAAAACAGAAACCAATAGTTAACGTAGTAACGAGGAAATGTGCCTATCCCTCATGGATTATCACGTTTTGCTAGCTATCTTATTTAGTTTGATAACTAGCGTTAGGGTTGTAGCTAGCTACCCATTTTATTATTTATTGTTAGCTAACTATGTTAGCATTCGTGTTGGTTAGCTAACGTTAGCTGACTGATAATGGGGTATCTAGCTAGCTATTTTAACTAGCTAATACATCTCGCAAAAAGTAAACACGTTTTCGTACACTCAAACAAATGCGTATCTATGGCTGATAATGTGATGGTTTAGCTACCTGTATGAGCATACTAATCAGCGATGGCGAGTAAGTTTTCCTTTGTGTCAGCTGTTACCCACTGAAAGAAAACAGGAATCATGGCGTCAGAATGTTGCCCTGTGATAACAACGCTTGTCGTAATTGGCCATTTCTGAAACGACCCAAGGCCATTGGGCCATTTACTCGTACAACGCCTCCAAACTGGGTCTGCTGGTACAAAAAAAATATGTTGTTGTGCGCGGGTCGTGAATATGATCATGTTGAACAAATGAATCAAAGTATTGAATTAATTGTAACTCGCGGCCATCCTATACAATATACCAGTTTACATGTCAAGAATCATAAATGTTATTAAAGCATATTATATGTTCAACTTGTAGTAAGTTTCACAGTCCTCTTTGCAAGCAAAAGGAACTCTCAAAAACCAGAGCAAAAGTTGAAAATTGTATGAGGCAACGCGGATGTCTAGAGAGAATAGGGAAAAGGCGTCAAAAAACCCTAAGTAATGCAAACAAAAATGTAGCCAGACACGGAAGAGGAAGCGAGTGACACACATATAAATAGATAGAGGACTCGTCTTTATATCTGTGCCATTATAGCGTCTGTGACAGCATTGGCTGTGCCACTGAGGCTACAACACATATGAATCCCCACCCACTTATACTTTGACTACTTTAAAATGGCGGAAGCATTGTATAATTTGCCATCAATGGCGCTGGCCATGATACAATGGACTTTGGCTACTAAAGGCCTCTATGATTCTCTATGGCGACCACTCATTTTATTTCTGGTTCAATGAAATGCTGCGTTCATGTCATGTCGGAAACTCGAGACCTCTGACTTAAAATTAGCATAAGTTATTTCCGTAGAGCTTCCTATTGATTGATCCTGATACCTCCCAAGTGGGAAACTCGGGAACCGACTCCTCCTAGGTTAGCAAGTCGGACATATCCGAGTTTCCGACATGACATGAACGTGGCATAAGTAGGTCAGACCCAGCTGCTATTGCGTTGGTGTCTATGGGAGTAACATCCAGTTAAGTAGACCGGAACTTACATTTTTCTCCAATGGTAAACCGCCTGAGTGAACTATCTTCATTTATCCACCATCGTTGGCTAGGCTACCAAATCAGTGCAAGTGTACAATTCCTAATTCTCATGAGCAGTGCAATCTTTTCTGGCCTCAGTGGGGGGCAGCAGAAAACAGCAGATGGTTGAACTGTCAAATCTGACATTTGATTTGCCACGTGCCGAATACAACAGGCATAGACCTTAAAGTGAAATGCTTACTCACAAGCCCTTAACCAACAATGCAGTTTTAAGAAAAACAAGTGTTAAGTTAAAAAAAGATAAGTAAAAAATTAAAATGCTCTGCAATATTCACCAAGAGCTACCTTCAAGAGAAAAACATAGGTGATGTATAAATATGTATATTCTGCATTTTTAATTGCAACATGATGATGAGTTAATTACAAACCATGTCAAGTTACAAGCCCATGTGCCCAGACACCTTTTACATAATGTCTGATACATGCTCAGCAAAGTCTGTGATGTCTAACTCATAATTCCTCATAACAAGGGTAGTGAGTTACACAGGAATGTTTCATAGCCATTTGACACACGACATGTGTTACATGACATCTGATTCACGATATGTGATACAAGAAGTGATACATGTTTTACCACTGGGATTTTGGCAAGGTGCAACGACACCTGTGTGGGACTATTGAGCCTACTCAAGTGCTCTTTTAATTCCTCAGGCATCCACCTCTCTCTCTCTCTCTCTCTCTCTCTCTCTCTCTCTCTCTCTCTCTCTCTCTCTCTCTCTCTCTCTCTCTCTCTCTCTCTCTCTCTCTCTCTCTCAGTGTGTAGGAGAGTCTCTAAGTCTCTGGGCTCTCTGTCATATCATCCTACTGCAGCACACATTGCCAGAAGAGCAGGATACAAAAGCCTCAATATCACCCAGACCAACCGTGGCACAGCATCTATTTTTCAGTTTGCTCATCTCTAGGCACCACTCTAAGCCTCTGATCCTCCACAAATTCTTCTGTTAGATGCGGATAAAAAAAGTCAGAATATTAGGGCTTCTCTCCTCCCTCTCGACTCAGGCTTTACTCAGCCTTTCACTAATAAACGAGGTTACTCATGGATCTGTTGTGAGTTTGGGATTAAGTACTTTTTGAGAGTTGCTAAAGTTTTTGAGAAAAGAGTCACCTTCTCTATTACATTTAGCATGTGACTTGGTGATTTTTACGGAAGGGCCAATCCACAGCCCTCTAAAAACATTTAAAGTTAGATTGTGGATATTGATATCTGCAATAATAACCATCACATCAAAGCATGAAAATCAGACATAGAACAACAGAATCTTGAGCCAGAATCAGAGGCAAGTTAGTTCTTCTTCCCATTGCGACGACCACGAAAATCCATCTGCTAGCCCCGGCCCGCTAGCACACGCAAACAACAGCCGTGCTTCCTGCTCGCTGTGCTGTAGCACCAATTCCAACTGCTCTCGGACTCACATATTGCTGTTCACTGGACCTTATGATCACTCAGCTGCACAGCTGATGCCTGCTGGACTGTTCCTTTACACGGTACCCTGTCCTGTTTATCTGTTTAGCCTCAGCCCAAACTTTCATCGCCATTACCAGTTGTTGTCTTAGCTCTCTCTAATAACACCTGTGATTGCTTTATGCCTCTCTCCCATGTCAATATGCCTTGCCTATTGCTGTGCCAG